ACAGAAGTCACACCTGCCCAATCACAGATGCTGGCTTGCAGCATAACAGACAAGAACCAGACAAAGCCAGGGTATCACTAACAAGGAAGGCTGGCGTCGTCACAAAGGACCAGCGCTACTTCTCGGGGCATCTGGGGGCCATGCGAGGGTCCGACCAGCTCGTAACATTAACAGTCCCGTTAACTACCAATACCAAAAACTAATTTTTTGATGATTTACAAACGAGGGACTATTCTTCCCCTTACACTGGCACTTTTGTTTCGTCAAATGATAGGATTGTTTCATTCAAAAATGAAATGCACGAAGTGTTGCATTTTTCTGTGCTGATTGTACGGGGTTCTTCAGTTCAGTTGGTATCGATCCTACAAAACACCTCGACGACACCCATACAAAAGAGACGACACAAGATTAATCAAACTAAAAGTACAAAAAAAAAACATGTTAGATAGAAAAATCATGTCAAATAGTTGATTTCGGGGAAAAATGCATACTTTTTTGTATGTGGAATGCACTAGTCAACAAATCAAACTAACTTATCCAATTGCAAAGACAGTCATCATGCAGAATTGGCCGCCGTTTAGCGTTCACAGATTAAAAATAAAAGAATAACCTTCAAGAATGTCTCATCTTTCTGATAGCGTTTCGTATTCCTACCCATTTGAGCGCGAATCCACATACCGTTGTTGAGTCGTTTGAATCGGTCCAGAACATCTTGACAGGGCCTTTTACGACCTTCCTTTGGATCAAATCTAAAAATTATAAATGAATTCGACAAAAATCCCTGCCAACGCAAAGCCACTGCTATCGCAAAACATAAAATAGTAAAATTTGCTTCCGAGAACCTTCAATCTTCACAGGAACAACGCATTCTGCTTCTACCTACCTAGCAAACTGCGTCACTTTTCAACCGATAATTAAAACCCAGTCGCTCGATAATTAAAACCCAGCTTGGAACGCACCAGGCGGACCGATGCGATCATGCGTTTTTGCACTTTTCGTGCTATCACAAGATCGCAAGGAACCACAATAACTAGCCTTGCGACATCCTAGCCCTCAAAGTCGGAAAGTTAATTACACAGCTACCTGGTACGTCAGTTGCATATGTCGACTTCAGTGACCCGACAAACAGAAACTTGTTGATCCGCAAAAAAGGCCTTATTAGAAGAGTTAAATTTGAAATCTTTGAGTCGCACATGAGTAGGGAACATTCCCTTAAAATTAAAGCCTTCAGCTTTTCCTGTTCCCGAGTTAATAGTTTTCCCATCAAAATTTTCACGTGTCCGTACGCTAAAATTCCCTCGGAGGGAAGCGGATTCCGCTTTCATCTAGCTAGGCTACTTCTTGACTATTTCAGTCGTTCGATAATTAAAAAAAAAAACATCTTTCTTTCAAAAAATAGCCAATAAAATTCAAAAATTTAACGTCGGACCTAATATGGTATTCCCAGTGCGGTATCCTGGCAATGCCCCGTTTGATTATTTCCGTATCGTTTCTCGCCGTCAGTAGCAACAGCCTGCTCCCGTTCCTCTGCATATTTATGAATAAAATTATTCTTGAAACAAGTATCCCCCTCCTTTCTTCATTTGCACCGCCGCACAGCAACTGAAAATGAGAAGTACGCACTGGCTGCTTTTAGTGTACACATAAGACATATTAAACTTGCTGTTTCTCAATTAATTCAAATCAAAAACAGATATAATTTAATGGACCGAAACATTTCTTACCAATTTATAAAATTATTTGTATTTTTCCCCTTTCTTTTTTGTGTTTGCACATTACTTTCTCTTTTAAATAAGCACCAGAACCAAATAGTAAAGCAAATCAGGAGATCCACACTATTACACAATTTTTTACGAGAAGCTTACTACCAACCAGGAGATATCTCGCGCGAAGATTATGTAGATGTGATGAAATGTGACGAGATTTGTATATAAGTAACATTGTATTTGATGCGATTCATTGTTATCACTGATTTTTTCAGGGGAGAAGCGGGGAGAGGGGGAAGGGGGAGGGCATGAGAAGGGGGACAAAACAATCATCGCCTCATTTGTATTCCAGCACCAGTAGCTGGAATCGGCGCAAGTGCGTCCAATAAGCTATTGTGAACTAAAAATAAGTTAAAATGTGACAAAATATAGCTTTACCACAATTTACGATGATTTACCGCCCTGCCTGTCGCGTAAAATGTATCAAAATCACAGATTCATAGCTTATAAATGTGTAGAGATCTAGCAGGACAAGTATTTAAATCGAAGGTCAGGATAAAGAGGAAATTAAATCAGTTGAGGTTTATTTTTTCAATGGTCCCACCCTCAAAACTTAAATCCTGTAATCCTCCCAGCTCTTGATTCATAAAATTTGATCAAAAATGGATCCATACTCAAAGAAGAGAACGCAAAAATGACTTTAAAACCGTTCTAAAGCCTCACCTTTTACATACTCAAGAACTGCTATAGCTTCTTAATTTCCTGGAAAGGTGAACGGTATGCGGATATGTGACGTTCATTGGTTTCGGAAGGCAAGCAGTACAATACTCTCTTCAAATCTCACTGATACAGCTCAGCAACGAACATATAAAAGTAGAGTGCCAATTCCAGTGAATTAAAAATGAACTGCCAAGAAGCTGGTAGTACGATGATCATTTATCAGTGACGAATCACGGATCATTGGGTCATCATCATCAATATGTCAGTAGTAAACAGGGGCACTAGAATAGTGGGCAATACAACAAATGCAACAGAACAGTGAGCGGCGCACTGAGAATAATAACATTCTCGATTTCGAACAAAATGCACTGAGCGCTATGCACAACGATATGAAGAATTTCAAAGGGGTTTTTGAAATCCCATTCATAGTTTTGTCACACTATTACAATCATTTCCGCCGGCTGCTATTTCACAAACCACGTGTTTCCTCGGTGATTCATCATCCCTCGTTACATTATAATTATAATAATGTGACAGTTCAACCAAACTGCTGCATTTACCTGCCATGGTATTCATCGATGTACATTCAACCCAGTGACAGGCTTTTTCTCCTCCACTTCTCCGCACCCGTTCTTCGAACGATATCAACTGTAAGGGCACAGAAACGAATTTTGAGACCACAACCGCCTTACCACTTCACAAGAGCCAAAAGATGAGATTATTTCGAACTTTTGTTCCTTGAAAATAACCCACACGGCTTTATTTAGTTACACACCCACCCAGTCCTTCCTACAAGAACTTCTCCTGCGCCTGCCTCACTCTCCAGCCTCCTTTTTTTGTTCCCGAATCAAAGCTTTAAGCATTCCTGGCCGATAAAGCGGGGAAAGGCACCTTTGCAACGGCCGGTAACTGAAGCAGCAATCCAGGACTAGGAAAAGAACAATGGAGGTTATGAAAACACAAAAAGACATCATCTTCGCTGTACAATTTTCATACCACTCTAAGTATTTAAGAAACAACGAAATCTGATACAATTAAGTCGTAAAAAACTTGAAAAATCACAGAGTTCCTACATAAAAATTACAAAAAATATGCTATTCCTGTTTCAAAACATTATTCAGACACAATGAAAAAAAAAAAAAAAAAATTCGACAGACGTAATTTTACTAGTACAACTCTTCCTCATACCATACAATCGGATAGTACTGAACACGAATATTTAACCTGCTGCAACCAAGAATTCGGTCAGGAAAGCAAAACACAAAAATTCGAAAATCTGGCATTTCTTACGGTTTATATGCAGTGTGATCACACCAGCAGATCGACCAGCAGTTTCGGAAAGACAGGCTGA